GGGGAGATATACGGGGCAGGCAGGAGATATAAAAGCAATGTTAGATGACACATCCATAGCCTATGGGCACACTGCATGTCCAGATGGGCATCTGTCCGACTAGGGTCAGGGGCCTACACTAACATACATGAGCCACCCACAGGCACGCGTCATACCATTTCCATGTGACGGAGCTATGTTAGTAACAAGTGTCTATCCAAATGTATAAGAAAATAACTCTTCATTTGATACCTAACACGACTATACTACAATGTACAGGAAATGAAGGACTTTACGTCTCCTAGGCGTGTCCCCAAAAAGCTGCTGCAGACGGCAGCTGACAACTCTCATTTCTCCACTGACTCTCGGCATCCGTGTCTAGCTTCGGAGGTGAAATGAGAGTTGTCAGCTGCCGTCTGCAGCAGCTTTTTGCGGACCCTTTACAGCCAGAGGTGGGAAACTCCGGCCCTCTTACTGCGCTTTATCTACAAATCCCAACGTGCCTCCGGGAGCCACGCCTGTAACTGTCTTGCAATGCCTCAGGGGTCAATGGGACTCTGCCAGAACCACATGAACCTCGGTAAGTCCTTTTCACTCTGTATCCGGTTTGTTTTTCGCCTCTCTTTGAAGAAAGCTTCCGGAACTTTAAACTCTGCGTCATTCCTGTCTGGCGTGGCAGCGAGCGTCACAGAACCCCCCGTCCCTAAAGGTCAGGATCACTCCGCAGATACTGCGTAGGGTTCGTGTTTCAGCTGTTAGGGGTTTTTTCCTCTCTAATTTATAACGATAATAACATTAAATATCTGATACAAAGTACGGCAAAAGTTAAACTAGAAATCCCCCCCAACAAAGCCCTCGTCAGCTTGTGGAATTAGCCGATATTGCCCCCGGGATACCTACGTCACCAGACCCGCACCACACTGACCCCCAAACAAGGGGAGCAGAGCGAGGCGTCATCGGTGGTCACGTGACCGCTGCAGAAATCGTTATATCGCTATGAAACTTTGTTTTCTATCGCTTAACCTTAATGTGCCGGTGATGCATCACCCGCACATTGATCTCGGGGGGCATGTACTTGCCGTCTACTTCAAATAAAACCTTTTGTATTTACGTTTTTTGTTAATACAATGCTAAAAAAAAGTGATACATTATATTTTTTTAAACTCGACTATATATAATGAGGAAGGAGGAGCTAATTAGGGTTGATTAGTGTTAGTAAGGGGTTAAGGGGGAAAAAATGTTAAAACAAAAAAAAACCCCCCCTCCCCCCGCATATGAAATGAAGGGACACAGCGAAGTCCTCGGATCTGAAGTGTAAATACAATGTAACCATCTTTGTGTTACAATGTATCCATCAATGATTCCTGAAAACACGGCTTACAGGCTTCGTTCATATCGGGGGAGGGGGGGCTGATTACACAGTATTACAATGTGACAGGCGGGTGTCACCGATCGTAGCGGTCAGGGGGGAAGAAGCACCGGGCGTACGAGGTATGTCCAAGGAACATAGGGCGCACATCCAATGTCCTGGTCACAGTATTTCCTGTACACTCAGCAATCAGGACGAGGGCAGTGAGTGAGGGGAACAGACCCCATATGGGGGTCAGACATTAGTAGGGCCACTAAGTCTATACCGGGTAAAGGCTTGACTCCATCACTGGAAGAGTCGTGTAGTCTGATCTCCCCTTCTCTTCATCCACAAGCTCCTCTCTCACCGTGATGTCTTCCTTTTGAAGGGAGATCAGACTACACTGCTAGAGGGACTCAACCAGCAGTGACACCCCCTCCCCCCCAGCAGAGGAAGCCAGATACAACTACGAAGTCTTTAGTCAACACTGATTTCCTGATAAAGATCGGAGGAGAGCTCAGCCACGTGTTTTCTGAGGTGTATATCAAGGTGTGCTTCTTCCCAGTGTCAGACCTCTGATGATTCATATAGAAGACATTTCCCGCACTCAGGACAATAAAACTCCTAAACGGCCGCGTGGGTTCTCTGATGTTTGGCGAGACAAGACTTCTGTGAAAAAAGTTTCCCGCACTCGGGGCAGGAATACGGCCTGTCCCCCACGTGAGATTTCAGATGCGTGTTGAGATGGGACTTCTGTGAGAAACACTTCCCGCACACAAGGCAACAATACGGTTTCTCCCCCGTGTGACACCTCCGATGTGCATCAAGAAGTGGTTTTCGTACAAAACACTTCCCGCACTCAGAGCAGGCGTACGGCTTCTCTCCTGTGTGAGATCTTTGATGTATAATAAGGTCAGATTTCCGCAGATAACTTTTATCACATTCCAGGCAGGAATACGGCTTTTGTCCAGTGTGGCCTATTTGATGTCCAGTAAGATGGGACTTTCTGGAAAAACTTTTCCCACACACAGGACAGGTAAACGGCTTCTCCCCAGTGTGACATCTCCGATGTGCATCAAGAAGTGGTTTACGCACGAAACACTTCCCACACTCAGGGCAGGAATAAGGCTTCTCTCCTGTGTGAGATCTTTGATGTATGACAAGGTCTGATTTCCGTAGGTAACATTTCCCACACTCAAGGCAGGCATACGGCTTCACGCCCGTGTGGCATGTTAGATGTCCAGTAAGATGGGACTTCCGTGAAAAACATTTGTCACACTCGGGACAGGAAAACGGCTTCTCACCCGTGTGAGATCTCCGATGTGCATCAAGAAGTGGTTTACGTACAAAACCTTTCCCGCACTCGGGGCAAGAAAACGGCTTCTCTCCTGTGTGAGTTCTTTGATGGTTGACAAGTTGAGATTTCCATGGAAAACATTTACCGCACTCGGGACAGGAATACGGCTTTTCGCCCACGTGGCATATTTGATGTCCAATGAGATGGGACTTCTGTGAAAAACATCTGCCGCACTCAGGACAGGAAAACGGCTTCTCCCCCGTGTGACATCTCCGATGTGCATCAAGAAGTGGTTTACGGGCAAAACGTTTCTCGCACTCATGGCAGGCATACGGCTTCTCTCCCGTGTGAGATCTTTCATGTAGGATAAGTTCCGCTTTCCGTGGATAACATTTCCCACACTCCGGGCAGGAATGCGGTTTCTCCCCAGTGTGGCATATCTGATGTAAAGAGAGATAGGACTTTCGCGAAAAACCTTTCCCACACTCCTCACAGGTATAGGGCTTCTCCCCCGTGTGAAATCTCTGATGTCTGACAAGTTCCGATTTCCGTGGATAACACTTCCCGCAGTCGGGGCAGGAGAACGGCTTCTCCCCCGTGTGGCAGATCTGATGTACAGAGAGATAGGACTTCTGTGAAAAACCTTTCCCGCACACATTACAGGAATACGGCTTCTCTCCTATGTGAGATTTCTGATGCCTGACGAGCTGCGGCTCCGACGAGAACCGCTGCTCGCACTCGGGACAGGAAAACGGCCGGTAGCACGTGTTGTTTTTTAGATGTACACGGACGCTGGATTTAAACCGAAAACGTTTCCCACACTCAGGGCAGGAGAACCTCTTATCTGTTGGGAGGACGGCCCCGTCACTCCCCGTCTGAGGTTCCTCAGGATTGGAGGAATACGAGGGTCCGTCCACACTGTGGGGCACCTGATGGACGTTATGGTCTTCTCCTGGACCGTATTGTGGGGTAGCCGGGTCTTCTCCTGGACTATACTGTGTGATGTCCTCGTCTTCTACTTTCCAATCTGGAGACAAAAAGAAATGAAAGATTATTGGAGGACACGAGCGGGTTGGTTCACCCCAAGCAGGACTCCGCCCACATCAGTCAGCTTTCCTGAAGAGGATCATATCTGGTAGATGGTTCCTTCTGACCTCCAACCATTCATAGACCCTGGTCAGAGAACTCTACATTATAGAGGTGCAGGGATTGTGGGAGGAGCCTACCCACCCCCTCCATCATGACAATACAAGAAGTAACATCCTTCCCCATCACAGTCATAAAGGAAGAGCTGAGCTCCACCAGAGGCCACAGAGTAAAGATGAGAGGGGACAACCTGATCCTGAAGACCACCATCACTGAGCACCGGACTCGCCCCCCATCATCGTCTTCTGTTGAAGGTTCCAACAGCCGGGCAGCCAGTCAGGACGTCCAGCCGTGGAAGGTCTCGTCTCTCTCTCAGTAGAGGAGTCCTTCTGTCCGCCATTATGTAGAGACTTGGCTGTAGGAGAACCTTGAGGAGCTTGAAGAACCCAATATTGGTGGAATCTGATTTATCGTATCCGTGATACTCCACCAAAGAGTGAAAACCGACAACTTCCTGCCCGCTGCCCCCAAAAATCTACATGAACCCCGTCCACATGTATACATTGTATCTACAGGACAGAGAAGGAGGAATATCCGAGAGAGAGAGAGAGGAGAACCTTTGGAGTGGTCTGAGCGCCTACTTCATGTTCAATGTCCACAGAGGAATTCTGATATATATTCAACCAAGTCTGAATATCAACTGTGTCTACAGGACCAAGAGGGAGGAAAATCCGAGAGAGAGATCTAATGTGCCGGACGGGGAACACAGGTCAGAAAAGTGACCAATACCAGCTTATTACAGGCCGATCTCACTCAGTCCCCGCCCCCATTCTGGACCAATCAGTGAGCAGTCGAATGTATTTTGTGCTTCAGACCCACCTGTGCTGATCTCTGTAGGCGTGTCCTCCTCTATGGACGTCCTCATCATCCCGGCCTCCTCCGTATATCGCTGATCATCCCTCACATACGTCTCTTCTTCTTTCACCTCAACTTTGATCTTCATCAGATCTTCACCCTAAACCAGGAAAATGAGAGAAAACATCATCTTGTAGGATCCCCACGTTGTCTCCACAAGTCCCTTCACGTTCTAGATTCTCCGTCCCACCGACCTGACACCCGAATGGTGGAGAACATCATCTGTAGACGTTCTGATGGAGTGAGACCACCTAGAAGATGTCTTGTGGAGTCCACACCTCGGACCTCAGTCACTGACACAGATCAGAGGAGGATTGGCCACTGATGCCACGAGAGTAAGAAGTATATATAGGAACACTATCTATAGATGTTCTACCAGCGTGGCCACATGGGACCTCTACGTACACACTGAACATCAGCTAGATACTTCTTGGATCACACCATCATGTTATAGATGTTCCTCCTCGCCTACCTGATCATGGTGGGGGATGGTGAGATCTTCCTGGGTGGGATCCCGGGAATACAGGGGGCGGGGACATCTCCTGGAGCTGGAGGACTCCTCCATGTTCTCCTGGTACAGACCGCTGTGTCCTTCCGGAAACTCTGAACCGTCCATCAGTCCATCTTCTCGGATTTCTTCTTTCACAATAACGTTGAAACCGCTCAGCTTTCCCCTCTGAATAATAAAAAGGACACAAATTATAATGTAGAGAATGTGAAGATCCCAGAGATGCCACCAGTGATTGTCCATCACCTACCTGATCATGGTGGGGGAGGGTGAGATCTTCCTGGGTGGGATCCCGGAAATACAGAGGACGGGGACATCTCTCTGGTGGGTTCCCATATCTGGATGACTCCTCCATCTTCTCCTGGTACAGACCGTTGTGTCCTTTAGGGAACTCCGTCACCCCGTACTCCTCATCGTACTCTTTGCACTCTTCTTTAACGTTGAAATCACTCCAATTTCCACTCTGAGTATCAAATCAAAAATAAATGGTAACCATGGAGATAATGTCCAGATCCAAGAGATGCCACCAGTGATGGTCCATCACCTACCTGATCATGGTGGGGGATGCTTTGGTCTGCAGCATTACAAATCACATTTTGGGTCCATTCATATCCATCCCTAAATCAGTCCCCCCCATCCCCCGCACCGGGATAGGGTGGAAAGGTCATCGATGGAACGTGACCCATCTCCGAAATGAAGGAAATGTTCCGGCCCCATAATTGGGGGAATGTTCTGACCCTGAAGGGGTTAATATATGTTCCTTCTCTATATATATGTGTGTAGAAGAATCTCCTGGAGATAAAAGACGTCGCAGTGACTATGGAGGACGAGGACGGACATGACGGGGGGGGGGGGGGGGGAAATATATAAAAAAATATCATTAC